GCGGGCGGGACCAAAGGGAGTTATGATATAAAATTTCATTGCAAAAGCTTAAAAGCTTCTTGAGATATCGCACGGAAATGAAAAGTTTACACACAAACAGAATGTATAAATTTTTTACCTTGACCTTTGACCTTTTGAACTCGAAATCAATAGTGGTCTTCTTTAGGCCATAGGGAGTTTCAGTGTAAAATTTCATTGCAAAAGCTCGAAGTTTTTGAGATATTGCGCGGAAATAAAGTGTTAAAACAGACAGAATTATGATTCATGACCTTTACCTTTGACCTTAAAATCAATGGGGGTCTTCCTTAGGTCACAGGGAGTTGTTATATAAACTTTCATTGCAAAGACTCAAAGGCTTCACGCGACATCGTGCAGAAACGAAAGTGTTGCAGAAAGACAGACTGACAGATGGATGGACGTCAGACAGACCTAAATAAATATCCCCCACTTTAAGTGAAAGTAGGGGACAAAAAGGCAAATTTTATATACCATTGTGTCCTTGAACTTTGACCTTCTGTCCGTATTTACCAATTCATGTGATGCTAGTTACATGTATTGTCCACCAGAACTGTAATTTTGTTTATTCATAATTATGTTGTTTAAAACACAAGTATTAGTTATGGCATTGAAAAAAATGTGCTTAGTTTCCTTACTTTTCCATCTAAATCGAGCCATATTGACCTTGAACTTTGACCTTTTGTTATGAAAATTGATTTTTTTTTCTTTGTTTTTGCTATTGTGTACTATATGTACAAATTTGGTTTTAATCCATTTTAAAATACTCAGGTATTTATATGGAAACTGATAGTAGATACCTATTGCCCTTGTATGGAATTCTTAAAAAAGCATTAGTTTGTAACCATGGTAACATGAAAACAAGATATGAATACCAAGTGGTTCTTTATGGTTTATATTACAACTATATATGGACTTTCAAACCAATGTATTTATTTTTTCCAATATGTCCGCAAAAATTTATACCAGGCTTTTCAAAAGAGCCTAAAATCTACAATTTTTCCTTAGAAAAATCATACTTAAAAAGGGGGGATATTTTTTCTATGAGGTTAAGTTACTCAAATACTAGAAATTATCAAAAGAACTATAAAAATGATGTATTTTGACAAAAAGATAAAGTCATGTAAATATCTTTTTGTATTAAGACTTTTAATTAGTCAAAAATGGTCATTTTTCATCAAAATTTAGCATTTTGTAGGCCATGAAAAATGTATGTTGGTTGCCATGGTAACCATTGACCATAGCAACCATTTTATTATGAATTTTAGTTTCATACATCAATATAGGAATGTGTGCCAAGTTTCATAAAAATCCAAGACCTAGCGTGCCACACTCCCTATATAAGAGTTTAAATGCTTACAGAGAATGGCTATTAAATGACTTTTTTTCAGATCGATCACTCTTCCTTTTCTTCCCTTTTTTTAGTCCTTAAAAATATTGCATACTGCAAATAACCGGACTTCATACTTTTTCCCCTTTTTTAAAGCTCAACGAAAGCCTATTAGGATCAAACTGCGGTAAAAAAAAATTAAAAGGCGTTATAACGCCTTTTCAAAAGGCGTTATAACGCGAAAAAAGGCGTAATAACGCCTTTTGAAAAGGCGTGTAAATGCGGAAAAAGGCGTAATAACGCAAATAAAGGCGTAATTATGCCTTTCCAAAAGGCGTTTTAACGCGAAAAAAGGCGTTATTACGCCTTTCCAAAAGGCGTTATTACGCCTTTCCAAAAGGCGTTATAATGCCTTTTAAAAAGGCGTTTTTACGCCTTTCCAAAAGGCGTTATTACGCCTTTCTAAAAGGCGTTATTACGCCTTTCCAAAAGGTGTTATTACGCCTTTTTAAAAGGCATTAATACGCCTTTCAAAAAGGCGTTATTATGCCTTTTGAAGGGCCATTATTATGTTTTTCACAGGCCCGAGCTTTTAAAGGGGGGGGGGGGTCCCATAAAATTGACAAGTAAACAAAAAAACAAGACCTCCCCCCCCGAAAAAAAATAAACTGCCTAAACTTGAGGGGAAACTTTTTCTAATTTTTCGGTAAAACTTTTTTTAAATGCAATGACTAGCCCGAGTTTAACCATACTGCAACAAAATGTTAAGGGAGCAAGCAATCAATTAATGATTTTTTTTATATTTAAACCATAGCAAGACTATTCTCCCAAAAGTGGGGTGGGGGACCCTCCCCCCCACTCACATTCGTACTACCGGCCTGTTTGAAAAGGAGTTGTATCCAAAAATGGAAAGGCGTTATTTTAAAATAGTAAATATATGAAAGATTGAACCAAAGCCATCTTTATTTATGAAATATCGTAATAACGCCTTTTGGAAAGGCGTAATAACGCCTTTTGGAAAGGCGTAATAACGCCTTTTTTCGCCTTTTAATTTTTTTTTCCCGTAGTTTGATCCTAATAGGCTTTCGTAAAGCTCAACACTTCCATCTAAGAAAACCTGGGTAAACGCAATATTTAATAACCCTATAGAAATTAATTTATCAGAATTTCATATCACATCTAAGCTTTAATATGCAAGATTTGCTGTTTTTATGTACAAACCACTTTACAAAATAGTCACCGGTTATAGACAAAAACTAAGGGGTTTGTGATTTCTACTTTAACAAATAAATAAATAAAATAAATTAATAAAAAATAAGATAAAGAAAATATTTTAAAAAAAATCTAGCAGATTTTCAAAATAGTTGACAAATAACCATACTAGATATATAAAAAATTATGAGCTCTTTATTAATTGAATTCAATATAACTATCTTTAATCTGTTTTTTTTAATGTAATTTAACTTTCATCTAGTATCACAAGCGACTCAGGAGAAGGATAAAAAAAATAAGATACGGATTTACATTTTTTAAGCAAGAGCATATACAGGTATATGTTTGTTGACTACACAAGATTTTCAATTAAAAGTAAGAAAATTTGAATTTTACGTGAAACGCCATTGGTCAAATTGGCATCATTGCCAAAGTCTGCTGTTTATGACTTAACGACATGTTCAGGGATGCATTTAGTCAATGTTTTATTCAATTGCCTTAGAGATACAAGAAGAAAGCATAGAAGCTATGTATAATTCACGATTCAATTTTCAGAAAATTTAAGGAAGCCAGTATTATAATATTGAAACACGTTATTATCATCTACGCAGGAATCTCGTCTTTGTGTTAAGAAAATTAAAATTCATTGAAATCAAGGAATACGTTTGCATGTAACCGTCAATTCTTACCAAGCTAATGAAAAGTCCTTATTTAACGTTTCCAAACGAATATCCTTTTGTGACTGTTATGTCGACAGTTGTAAGGATTCTTTGAGAAACAAATGTTAAACACGCGAATGAAACACTTCTTTTTTTCAATCTACATAATGGGATATTGTTTCAGTTGTCCATTTTAATTGTCGTTTAATATTATACTCTGGTGATATATTTCTTTTTTTTTATTGTTGGTAGATAAAAACATTCTTAATGAGGCGTTTGAGTCTTCTTGGTCAATTTGAGATGAAATGTAAATATATTAGGTGATGTGTTTAATAAATCCTTATTATACGAGGGTTTTCCCTGTATTGTATTTTTTTCATATTATTCGAGAGTTTACCCAGAATAAAACCCGAAGATAAATAATATTTTGATTTATTAATATTTTACCGTTAATAATCGGCTGCAGCATCATTAACATTTTAAAATAATACCAAAAAATTCCTATATATATATATATATATATATATATATATATATATATATATATATATATATATATATATATATATATATATATATATATATATATATATATATATAATATTTAAATCAAATATCTCTACCGTTAATATTTTTTCCAGTTTAAGAGCTGTCGGCAAACAATCAAAGACATCAACACGTAGTTTGTGCTGTTTTTGAAATTTGTTCATGGATTTTGCATTTTTTATGGATTAAAGTATATTTGAAGCAGAAATACGACATCCTTTGTAATTGTTATTAGATAGTAATGTATGAATCAATCTCATATTTACTAGAGTCATTGAAATCCCGCATGAAATTTTTTGAATGTACTATTTCCCAACCCTGTTCATGATCAGAATTTATGAAGTTTTTCACTTGACGTCGAGCCTTAGTTTGCCATTGCTTTTTTGGTTTACGGAGCAACTTGCAATTATCTATTGTGACGAAATTCGAGGCAGTCAAATGTAGAGTTTGTGCAATCAAATAGCTCAATTGAGAAGGCTCGGTAAAATCTGGAGCTCATTTAAGTTTCCTCTCCAAATTAAAGAGAAATAATTCAAAAGCTTAGTTTTGTCTTTTCTTTTGTTATTTTCTTTTAAGTGAAATATGAAGATAGCAAACAATAAAATGACTCAAAAGTCATTGAAACAATTCTACTTTGGAGCAGAGAAAATATGGACCTCTTAAACTTCAGAGGTGGGATCAGGTGCCATGAAGAACTAAGCATCTTCTGTCGACAGGTCTTACAAGATGTGTAACAGCAGAATTGATAATTTATCGTATTAAAAAAAAAATGATTATTTTTACTTTACGATTCCAACATTAAAATAAAATTATATTCAATAAACAAAATGGAATATTAAAGCTAGATAACATCAAATGCTTAGAAAGAAGTTGTCATCCTAGGAGTTTCATATATATCTATAATAAAAGTATCAACTGTAGGAAACAAACGGAGGACAAGTCATAAACACGATGCAACACACTATGTTAGGCTTCTTCAACATGATATTCTTCTTTATCTCAGTGTTACCAGCAGGTTAAGGAAAACGAGGACACGTCATAAATGTCATGTTACACACAAGGTGATAGTCTCTCACTGTCACCAGTAACTGGATACCGAGGGCATGCAATAAATGTAAACATTAATAATAAAGGTACTAAATATAAATATCAATAAACACAATGAGGTTCTCTTTTATATCACTGTCACCAGCAACTGTGGGATATTAAAGCTACGTCAAGAGTATCATGTTAAACTTTTAATGAGGCTTTATCATCATGAGAGTCTCTGTAATATCCTTGCCATCAGCGACCGTACCAGCCCAAGGATCTTTCCAGTATCCCGGAGACCAGGGACCATTGAGAAAGGTTTTGTAACAGGCATTCATCCACCAGCCTCCTTCATAATTACCAGCACAGGGACCTCCACTATTATCATTATCTCTGTCTCGGGTACTGAATGGCATCCCAGACTGATCAAACATACTGTCACCTGTAAATTTAACATATGTTAATTATAATACATGTATATAAATTTAAAAAATAGTTCATTTGTTAATCCAACTTAATTGGTATTACAATTTCAGAAAAAAAGACATTCGGGCAATAAGTAATTTTTCTTTCTGCAAAGGTTGTAACCATTAATACCCCATTAAATACGATATCTTTCGCAAAGCTTTATTTGAAAAAAAAGTGATGATAAAAAACAATGATCGATCTAAAAATATAAACAATACACATCTTTAAACAGGTCACAGATTCGGACCACCCTTTAATTTAAAAGGTGGGAACAGGTGCCTTGGAGAAGAAAACATCACCTGTTGACCGAACACATCTGCTGCGAGCCCTATGTATTTATCGGGTAGAAGAACAAAAAAAACCTAAGTCGAATATGTAGTATAAAAAGACCTAACAACTGGTATGAAACGTCAGCCAAAATACAACTCAATGAAAGGTTATATTTGCTGACAAGGTCATTATAACGACACTAGATTTTGATATGCTGTCTTTAAACGAGGTTGTTGAAATTCCTGCCGCATCAATTGTAAGTAGCATGCCTCGGTTTTAAAATTAATCGCACCCGAAGCATGCTCTTAAATATTGAATAATTTTGGAGATGTAAGCGCCGTATGCAGGTTATAGAGGAAAACTCCTACATGTATACAAATGAGGAATGTTGATGATGAAAAGTTAAATTAACTCTTCATCAGAAAATTTAGTTGTTAATTTGCTCCAAATATGAAACAGATGTGGCAGACTCTGTGTTTTCTTTTATTCCATGTTCACAGGAATATATCGAATCGACATATGAATGGATGTAACTATTATTAATTGATAATACGTCGTCGACGTCTCTATATCGAGTTGAGGGCCCCGGCAAATGCTTTCTTCTTTTTTTTGTAGAAATGTCTGAATAAGTTCTGCTTCAAAGGGATATAAAACAGGTCACCCATAAGGAGCATTATTCATGCATATTGGAATTCTAACAGTTTTTGGAAGATTTGGTCTACGAAGTCTGCATAAATTTTGTCAATTGAGGAACTTCAGCATCCTTTTTGAAATCAAATTCAGAAAAAAATTGTGTAGAATCAGAGCCTAACATTTTTATCAAAATGAATTATGTATGAATAATCATTTTCAGAAGGCCAAAGTTGTAATAAAAATGTATATTAATATTCAAGGAAAATCATTTTTACTTCTTTTGAAAACAAAGGTCATCTATAAATTCGTAAACTCTGTTATACGGATGTTGAAGTTGCATATCAAATGTCCCTTAACTTATTTTATATGATAATTATACAGAAATGATTATTTACAAAATATTGTCTATTAAGCATAGGGACTAAACATAGCAGTTATTTTTAGAAAGCGTTCAAGCTCATGCACGTTTTATATCTTTTCCTTTACAGTTGCAAGGTAAATTCCTGTACCAATGACAAAGAAAAAATAAATTGATTATTTTCTTTTTACCTGTAATTCATTGTTGCATTAATTAAGGAACACGTTACTTTAAAAAATCTTTATACAGGTGGCCTTCAAAAATCAAAAACCGATTCTTACTATTACAGCGTGAATTGTTCTAATAGTTTTCTTTAAGAAATTATTGATGTTTATATCATATAATACAAAACAACTTAAATAATATCCAGCCAATAAGATTATCTTTTTAAAAATAAGTGTGTTTGCCCACTCCAGGTCGGTAAATAGGTGGGATTTATTTTCTCGAGTATTTTCAAGAAAAAATAATGAAGGTCTTAACAAAAGTAAAAAAGTTGTTGATGGGATGAAGAAATTCAGAAATGATAAAAAAAGAAGAATCCCACCTCTGATGTCCTGGAGGTCCGTGTTTGCTCTGCTCCTTTTTTATAATGTTTAATGGACTTTTGAGCTCGAATACTGTTCGTTATCTCCACATATTTCATAATCGTTACCTGAAGGTTTAAACAAATTTTAATTTGGGCGCTTTTAGCCAGTTGTCCGGGAGAGGGCAAACAAAAAACAAACACTGAATCGCAAACAAGTATTAGAAAAAAAAATGTAGCATTACATGCAATATTATTTGGAGAAAATATCTGCAAATGTAATATATGAGAGTGTCCATTAAACGGGTTAAGATAACGAACAGTGATCGATCTCATAAAACTACCAACAATGTAAATCTGTGAACGGGGCGTAAACATGGACCCCTGAAAAATCCAGAGGTGGGAACAGTTCGTGGAGAATTAGGTTTTTGTCAGAATGCACGGTTTTTGCAATATATATCTCATAAAAATTCCAAGGCAGGATAGTTTGGTTTTATTTTCTTTACCTTATATTTTTCTAAAAATGCGGACTTTAAAGATAGCAGATAGTGCGCAAGGCTCAGGGTTAAACTAAATGAAGTAAAATGTTCTGATTAAAATGACTAGTTTTTATAAAAACAAGTCAAAGCTCAATAATCAATTATCTCGTCATGTCGAAATATCGATCACAACAGAATGAAATAGGTTATCTTGACAAAAGGAGAGAGTATTTGGCGTATGTCGACAAAACCAGCATCTTGACTTGACGAGAAAGTTTTCTTGACTCGATGCGATATCTTATGTTGACAAAAATCATCTGGATGGCGTAAATATGCCACCATAGATATGCATTAAAAACTATCCTTTTGAATGTTGTATATTTTTAGCTACCTTCGCCAATCCTTTATTCATTTTAACAATGTATCAATAAATTTCGTGATTACCAATGCTGTGATAGAAACTTTCTAAAATATTGACACGGAATGTTTTACTAGATACATTAAATATCGAGTATTTGATGGTAATTTAAACTGGAGGTTATAAAACACATCAACAAAACAGCTTTGGCACAAGGGATTACCCTATTTAATTTTACATAAAAATTGTATAATGCTAAGAAGAATATTCTATAGATTAAAAAACTGCTGCACAAATCTTACGCATTTTCTCATTTGATCGGAATTTGAGGAAACTTATATCGGACTGTACATTTTTACCCAGATTCAACTTAAAACTTTATAAATAGAAATAATACAACTGAGCTGTTGATATTTGTGCAGCAATTCCATCAACCTTTAAAATATTTTGCTTCAAAACATACCTTGTTTCAGTTAAATAAAATAGAGCATGCCCTTGCGCCGAAGCATTTTTGTTGATGTCCGTCATAATATGACGTCATAATGAATACTGGCTATCTCATGTCATGGGTACCAAGTATATATTAGACAATAAGTTTTCTCTGTATAATAGATATAGTCCTTAGACATTTTAACTAGTATACAGGTAAACTTTGGTATCTCGACATCGGATATGTCGACAACCTGGGATATGTCGACGTCCTTCCGCGGTCCCGGCAGTATTTACTATACAAATGATTTGCAAAAACTCTGATATGTCGACCTCGGTAATGTCGACAACCCGGGTTATCTCGACGTATATTCACAGTCCCGAGAGCAAAATTTACCTGGTATATGTCGACATCAGCAATTTTCTGCTCTACTGAACCTAACTGCTTGTCAGTTAGGGTCGCTCTTCAAGCACGGACGACTCCGGGTATCTCGACATCTTCAAAATTTCACACCTTTCACACCTGTGTTTTGACTGCACGCTGCTTAATTAATTCTATAGACTGTGTTTGTAGGTGAATCCCAAGCCCCCTCCGCGTCTTTGAGAAGTTAAATTGCTTATGTTCAGCTTGGGTAATATCATTGATAAATCAACACGATTCTGCGTAAATGTATGGACGGTTATTTATATCGAAACTTAACTTTTAAATTTGAAAAAGGTAACTAAATTACAATGAAAAACAAACGCACTGAATAATTCAAACTAAGGAATTAAAGGATGTTTTATTGATATTTTGTAATTAAAATGTATTCAACAGGAAACAGTCCAATTAACGGCACGATTGACCGAATCAGCCGTACTTCATGCACCTGTAACATCACTACGTTAGTTAAGATACACAAATCTCTTTAAAAAAATAATTTTAATGTACATTCTTCCTTAATGATATAAGAAAATCATAATCCGCATTTAATTTTTTCCCATATATCTGATGTCAACTTTATATGATTCGAAGTTCTTAGAGCGCATTTCGTATCCTGTTCTGACAAACAAGGCAAGTTACACGCGAATGCTGTAACTTTGTGCTGAAACTTTGTGAATTTAGAAAGATTTCGATAAAGAACACGTTTTATAAACAAGATTTTTTAAATAACTTCCTAGATTTTTAATAAAAAATAGAGGGAATTCTGAAATATGTTGAGCTACATTCTATATTGAAGTCCTGTACATATAATAAGCTTGTCTGATTTGCTTTGCATTGAAATGTTGGACGTCAAGTCTCAACTCTGATATCTCGACACCTCGGATATCTCGATATTTTCCGATGGCCCCGTCGATGTCGAGATAACGAAGTTTACCTGTATTTAAATACATATGCCAATACTTAGCCTTAACTCACCTGCGTAATTTAAATTTTAAAGTTTCTGTATTATCCTTTAAATAAGTTACAATAAATGTATGAGCCATTACATCAAATTCTGTTCAATGTGAGCGTGAATTTTGATTTTCGCATATGAAGTGCCACTTCCACAGTGTTGTGACATCAAGATAAAATGCATACATTATCCTTTGGAACCCCCGTCCTTTATAAGGTGTTTTAAATGTCGTCGCTTTCCACAATCTTTACATGTATAAGCAAAATAAATTTGGAATGTAAATATAAATCTCATGAACTAAAGAGACCAAAATATATTCTATTTTGATGCATATCTGATTTTGTTAAAGATTTTATTTATTTAAGAATAAGACACAGAATGTAATTAGACTTTTTCTTTGAAAGATGCAAGGCATTTAATTTAAAAAAAAATTACGCGCAATTATTTTTGCAACTCTCACTCCTTTTTTTCTCTTTTCTCTCTCTCTCACTTACCCGGCTGTAATCCCGGTAGCTTGTCCTCATGGAAAGAGTCTGTAGATGACTATATCGTAGGAAACAGAAAATTCTTTTTTTCTCTCTCTCTCTCTTACTTACCTAATGTTCCGGTAGCAGGTCCTCCGAGGAAAAGTCTGTAGTTGTCTGATTCATCAGAAACCGAGAACTGATCGTAATATTCATATAACATCCTGCCATCTTTTAAAGTGATAGAGACGTAGAGAGATGAGTTTCTTCCCTTGGTAAGCTTATGAATCACGTCATTTCCTGTAACATGTTATAGGAAATATTAATGAGTTACCAAAAAATAGTGTTTTAATCCAGGTTTCATTATAAAAAGCAAGAATTAAATTTTATCTCCAAAAAATCATTGGTTTATAAAGATTCACTATATGAATTAAATTCATAAGTAGTAAGTATATTGAAAGAAGCGAGAATAGATAATCTAGCTGCTCGATAAAATCTAACCTTAATCGGAATTTTATTAAAAGCGTATAAAAAGAAAAATTATGTGACAATTAAATAATTGTTCAATCATATGAAATTCAAAAATATAACTATCCAATAGGAGTCTTCCAATTTCCCGAATCCGTTTTTGTAGTCATCCCAGAATCTGTAAAAACTGACAGATCCGCTCCTCCGCTTTTGAATTACCTGAAGATCACATGCATTTAATAGCCTACCTAGAGATTACATTGATTGATTAGCCTACCTAGAGATTACATGTATTCATTTGACATGTATTCATTAGATTACTAGAGATTACAAGTATTGATAAAATTACATGGAGATTACATCTATCGTAAGATAACAGAGAGAGAGAGAGAGAGAGAGAGAGAGAGAGAGAGAGAGAGAGAGATAGTTGTCTAACCGTCCACCATCTGCCACAGTTCTCCAAATTACACGACACGTTGACAACACGTGACTTGTCATTCTCAAAAGGATAAATTTGGTATACACCAGATTGGGTCTGTCCATTAACATATATATCCCGGCAGTCCAGAGGAAAAGTTCTGGCATCTCTTTCTGTTGGAAAAGCTGAAAAAGTTGTGTATAAATGATCAACTGCAAGGAATTTTAGAAAGTATATAATGAAAAAGTCAATATTCATTAGAAATTATAAAGAAAAATCAATAGTAACCTTCTGAAAAGTAATTTTTCCATCCGGCTTCTGCTACTGTTATGTAAGTCTGGTCAAACGAATAATGGATTCGGCATTTCCTCTCTTTCAAGTTAAACCCAAAGCAGCCACATGTGACGTCACACTTAGCAGAGCAGAAGGTCAGAGAGGAGTCATTGTATTCTGCTATAGATCCACCTTCTGACTTTTTTTCATCAAAATTCACATCTTCTAAATACCGACGAGACAAAGCCGCCGCCGATTGTAGAGAGACTGCCATCAGGAAAAGGTTGCAGAAAATGCTCATTTTGCGATTAACCATAGGTGTCAACTGAATTTCAATTTAGTCGCAACTTTAAAAGATTGAAATTTTAGTAATGCTGAATCAAATATATAGTCAGAACTCTTGAATTATTCTGATGAAGTTAGTTTGTCATATCGATTGTTTGAATTTACTACTTTCGAAGAGCAGCTATTAATTTTTTGTGGAAGGAGTAGTTATGAATCTAAATATTGAATATTTAATTTAGAAATACAACAGAAACACCCATTTAAATATTTTAAACAGGATACTTTTAAATATAATGTCAGGATGGAAATTAGTCTGAAAAAGTCTTATCAAACTAGAGGTAACGGGAATCAAGACCCTTAAGAGCCCACAAATGAAACACTTTACTAAACCCTTAATGGCAACTGGCCATTTAAACTACCAAAACAAAAGCATATATGTGGCTACAGGTATATTATTTATAATATCTTTTTAAAATCTGATAAAAGGATATTAACATTTCGTTCATTTTTTTTAAATTTAACCTTCGTTCATTTAAGCTATGTATGGCGTATCTGAGCGTAAAATAATAACAGGAAATTGAATGTAGAATGTCATCAAGATGCATGTTATATACGTTCAAATTCAGTTTTTCACCGATTTCGAACTCGGTAATCTCATTGTTCTGTTAATTTGATTTAAAACTTTTTGAATCTTTTAAAATATCTGTGGTCGCTGGTCTATCCCCCATTTTCATTGTTCCATTAATGGCCATTTTTTGCTGATTGTCTTAATATAAAATCAGGCGATCAAATAAAGGCGGAATTTTTCAAATATATTATTTTTGTAAAGTCGACAAATAAATCGGTAACTAATTAAAAATTTTAATATCATTGAAACGCTATTTTATATATATATATATATATATATATATATATATATATATATATATATATATATATATATATATATATATATATATATATATATATATATATATATATGAAATATATATACCGAAATATTGTGATATCTCTATATGAATAAAACTAATCATCAATCAAATCAATCAATCTATCAATCTTTTTTTTTTAATTTAAGGTTTGTCGTTTGATCAAAGCAATTTTTGAACCCTTTACTTTAGCGTAGATTCAAATAACTTGCTAAAACCAAGGTTTCCCTTTGAAACATCGACTGGCATAACTACTTGATAAAACGCTTAAAAAGTTGAAAGTGTATTTTGGAAGTGAAATTTGTGATTTCGGTCATTTTGTAATAAATGTTTTTAAAATATTTATATAAAATATATATATGAAAAATATTTCAAAATACTTTAAAGGTTTCAAACACATAAACATTTTCATGTATTTCTTTAAGGATTTCATTTGAATTAAAGTGGATTGGAATGCAAAATGCAAAAATGATTTTATTTATACCAGAAGTAGAGTAATTGCAAGAAGATATACATGCGATCAAATAGGACTGCATTTAAGTAGAAGCTTGAATTTTTTCACACTGTCAGACATGTATAGTTTAAGCGTCTTTTTAAAGATTAAAAAAACATTGATATTCACTTTCCAATATCATTAAAAGTATTTCATTTTGAACATGTAAACTTTGTTCAGTATTCACACAACAAACTTTTTAAAAAGTCTTTTACACTTATTCTTCCCACTTCTTTGAAAGCCTAGACAAACGTTTAACAAATGCGCAATTGCAAATTTTTCTTAGAGAAAGAGAAAAACGTCAATTACTTAACACAGTTCTGCATTCTATTTTCATTGTTATGCTATAATGCGCAAGAATCATGTATTTTGTAGAGAATACCAACAAAATTGATGATATTAAAAATGTTATGCAAGACTGTAATGGAAACAATTATAAGTGTAATGTCGGAGTTGGTCTCACATTAAATAAAAAAAGATACAAATTAAAACATTTGACGAAATTTCATATGTAAAATATTCTGACAGATAATTATTGCAGACATCGAAAATACAATTATAATAGAAGTCTCACAATTATAATCCTAATTCTTTTAAAATGATTTTTTTTCCATCAGATTTTATGCATTTTATTATTGTCTATGCATAAGAGGAATAAAAGTAAAAAGGACAAATACATTATTTAATAATTAAAAATGCTCAGAGCTACTGTAAGACTAAGGTTAATGAGTTATCATGGACAAAGTAATTAAATGGTTTTAAGATAAAATTTTCTTGCGCATGTTTGTTGACTTCAGGAGATTTTCAATGACAAATAAAGAAACTTGAATTCTTTTAGAAACGTCTTCATTTATATTGACTTAGGCCTACAGTGTTAAATACCTTACACAATGTTTTCACCAAAAGGATGATGGATGAGATATAACGTTTTTATTCAAATTGTATTTTAAGAAGAAAGAACTGGAAGAAATGATTAATTCACGATTTAATTAACAAAAAATTAAGAAAGTTCATTTTCTAAAATTAGCGCACCTTAATAACAACCAGGCAGGCAATTTGTTTTTAAATTCATTGAAATTTGATTTATAAAGTTTGTGTTGTTTAAAGAATAGCTGTATATGTTATATGTCAGTTAATTAAAATCTTCATTAAACATATTTTGAAAACAAAATCCATATTTTGTGAATATTTTGTTGACAGGTTTAAAAATAACTTTAGAAACAAATGACAAACAAACACATGAATAAAACATTACTTTTAAATTTAATATTTATGTTCTGGTTACAGTTATCAGACACCAATTATCTCTTTTAATCTTTCAAACATCAATGTTATCAAAACATGGCTTTTCTACGCTTTACACAAAAATTACTCATGATCACTTTAAGTGCGGGCTTTTTTGGCATTATAGACAACTGATACCTCAATAAAAATGGAGCTCGTAAATTTCCATATCATGTGATAATTTTGCTGAAATTCTGATTCTGTACACAATTTCCCTGAAATTGATATTAAAATGATGCTGGAGTTCCTCATTGAAAATATGTAAGTAAATAAACTTTTGAGACCAGGTATTCTAACCAACTGTTGGACTTCCGATTGGTACAAACTGAGATCCTATATAAGCTGACCTGTTTTTATATTCCTATGAAACAGAATTTATTTAAAATCTTCGTCATGTTGTGGCCTTCAACTCACATTTAGATATATCGACGGCGTTTTATCAATAAATAATACATGCAGTTTCATATGTCGAAACAATATACATGTATCCCAGCAAGCTCAAAATAACACACACACACACAAAAAAAAAGAGTCTGCTACTGTTTCATATTTGGATGCTTTCTTACCTATAGGTGATTAGCAGCAATAATTAAAAAATATGAAGATATCAAAAGGATATTAAACTTAAAAGTCCATTGAAACAACACCAAATGTGAGCAGAGCAAACACAAACATATTAGATAATTAGAAGAGGATCACGTGTCATGGAGACGTAAGCATCCCCTTTCGACCGGTGTGATACATGTTTTCCTACAAACATAGCAATTATTAGAGAAAGAGCAGACATGTATATTGTTTAATTTTCTTTTAATGATAGATTACAAATTGTACAATCGCATAGTTCTTAATCCAGAAAAGTAACTCAATAACATGTACAATTATCTTTTTCATATCTGAATCATTTTGAAAAAACAAATATATATTCTAAGCTAAGAAAACAAATTCAATCGATTCAATCATCGTGTGAGATATGTGTATCCATAAACAAAATATGGAGAAGAAAACAACGCAAAAACACGTTTTTTTTATTTTACAACATCCCCAAAATTGCACATAAATACAATAGAGCTGTTTGAATAAATTTTAAAAAGCATACTGAAATATAATCTATACAATTCTAGTTGATATTAGGTTACTTTTTAAAAATAAGATTTCACTTGTGTAGACAATGGCGTCTTTGAATGTTAACATTTAGAGAAAAAAATCTATAGAGTGTCGAGCAACTGGATAGTATTTATGCTTAAATTTTGAAAAGTTTACATAGAATACAAAGTAAAATAATAAAAATTCACATTTTTAAGCTGCTGCTATCAAATTATTACGTAACGACCCTTTAAGGGGATGAAGGACACATGGTCACATGACTCTGTTTAACAACGTCATAATCTCCGTTTATATAAGTGCAAAACGTGTAAACCATCACTTCTTGTATAATTTTTTGACAATTTGTTTTACTTTAATTACAATCTTATATGAACAAAATAAAAAAAATAACATTCTTGTAAACATGAACAAGTTATGAAATATATAGATCAACTCCTCTGTTTCCCTGAACTGCACGTTTAACAAGTCAGTGACGTCAAACATGATCTCTTAGTACAGCAAAATCATACTCGGTGAATACAGGGGTGGTATTATTATAGAAAACAGGTCATAATCAGTATATGTAAAATGTGTGTATGAAGGTATATCTTATTTCGCTTATTAAGCTTACGTGTCACGTCATAATTGGTTTTCTCGTACTCGAGAAATGTTAACATGGCACGTTTTTGTCATGCATTACATGTATCATAAGGAGAATCTCTCATACATCATTATCGAAAAACAATAACAACTGTATATCACCGAGGAAACGTCGAAGATCGCATAATACTCGAGGTGATTATTTATCATCGCAAAAGCCTTATTTATCTCACTGTAACCTGCAAATGTGGCATACCGAAGACACGTCATACATCTCATGTAACGTACACTTAAAAAGTTTTAATCATCGTTACAGCCTCCTTTTGAACAAAATATAAGAAGTAAGGGTAGAAAATCAAGGACACTTTATAAACCTTACGTAACACACTAAGTGAGGTTCTATAATCATGAGAGTCATTTTTTGATCTCAGAGTTTTCAGTAACTGTGGGAAATCAAGGACCTGTCAGAAAACTATCTACCATATTTAGTGAGGCTTTATCATCATCAGAGTCTCCTTTATCTCTCTACCATCGATGACTGTAGGATTCCACGGTCTGCGCCAGGTTCCTGGAGACCAGGGACCGTTGAGGTAGACTTGGTAACAACTTTTAAACCACCAGCCTCCTTTATACTCAGCTGCACAGTTAACTCTGTCTCTGTCACTGTCTCTGTCTGGGGTACTGAAGGCCATCCCAGACTGCCCTGCCATACGGTCACCTTTAGAATTAAAAAAAATATATGTATATATGTATATACAAAACTAAATGTATTTTTGTAATGTTTTCTTTACTTATGTGTGAATGAATGGTTGCTATTTTTGCAGAAAAAAAAATACATTTCCATAGAAATGCATATTTTTCTGCAATGGATGCAATCGTGAATCCCGCATTTTAAAAAGAAAAGACATTTCATCAGTATAAACAATCGTTTAAGGATGACATTTACTCAGATGACATTTACTCAGATGGCAAAAGAATTCCATTTATGGCAAGGGAAAACATCCTATCTAACATTGTAGACCTATGATTATTTTGATATTTTCCACTTCCAGATAAGTAGGTCATTGACCTAGCACTCAGGAATTGATAAGATTTTGGTATGGTCTTCGCATGAAGCGTTAATTTTTTTTTTTAATGCAAACAATCAAGTGGTTTGTAAGTTAAAATTTATTTATTGATTAAATGAAATTTTAAAATAAACACATTTTGGTTCAGTTGCCCCAAAAGCGAAACAATTCTTCCAATTTTCTGAATCTTTAATTTAATTGCATAAATCTACATCCTTTTTTTTCTTACTGGTGTTTATTTTTTATGTTAAATGATATTATTTTATCATAACAACGAAGATAAACGGACTTTGATATTACAATATGACAAGGTATTTCATATATCTAATATTAAGACACAGAGTCTACTTACACTTAGATTTTAAAAGATAAGACATATTGTTATTTTTTTTCTAAAAAAGAAAAATTTTTCAAACAAAATTATTTTTCGTGAAATATATGGAGATAACGAACAGTATTCAAGCTCAAAAGTGTAGCGTCTCTCTCTCTCCTACTCTCTCGTCTCTCTCTCCCACTCTCTCTTACCTAAAGTTCCGGTAGCAGGTCCTCCGAGAAAAAGTCTGTAGTTGTCTGCCTCATCAGAAACTGAGAACTGATCGAAATATTTGTACAATTTTGTTCCATTTCTTAATGTAATAGAGACGTAGAGAGATGACTTCCTTCCCTTGGTAAGCTGATGAATGACGTCATTTCCTTTAACATGTAATTGGAGAAATATTTGAATTTTGAATTACAGAAAAATAAATTAAGGGGTCAATACCATCATTTCAGCTGTTCGACATGTTACAACGATAAACAGAACATCGATAACTAAAAATAAAATAATTTTGTTACAAGTGAACATTGGCTTAATACAATAGAATAATAATTAAATATTTACCGATCCAAAAGGAGTCTTCCAGGTTCCCGAAACCTTTCTTGTACTCATCCCACATTTTGTTAAAACTGACGGATCCGATCCTACGTTTTTGGATTACCTAAGGGGTACCATGAAATGATTAGAATTATGTCATTTATAACTATTGATGTACAACTGAAAGTAATATATATAACAATTTTTTTTCTTTTAAAGGAAATAATATGGAAATTTACTCCTCCGACTTAAATTATACTTCAATGTCCTCTCCAAAACTATCCCCAAAAAGGGAGAAAATCTGCTGGTACATTTACTTTTTTAAAATCTTAAAAAGACATTTGAAGAAAATATGAGGATATGGGACGTACTGATACGATATGTTTTCAATGGTCTTTTTCTATTATTTCTAAACACCAGTACTGTGTACTTCTAAGCATAAAATAAGAATACTTTTGGTAAAAATGGAAGAAGTAAAAAACTTTTCGAGATTTGATCCCGGCATGATGAAGTTAATTTAAAATGTTTTTTTTAAGTCTTGCAATGAATGTAATAAAATTATATATTTTTTTTACTGAATAATATTTAATTTAGCTAAATAACAAAAGACAACTGAATTTTTATCACATTTAAGATATGTCACTCCTGATTTTTTTGAGATATAACTAATCATGTAGCATGACTCAAAATCGCAAAGGAAACTGGGGGTCAATGTGCATCTTACTAAACGACGGTATAATTAGCTTGATCTTTTTGCATTTAAATTGTAAACTTTATAATATTTTACCAGATGTAATCATGGCAATAAATACAATTTTCGTTTTATGTAAAAAAATTTGAATGATTTATAATTTTAAAAAGAAATCCTGCAAATTAATACGCGTATATTATTGTGTGACATTTATGCACTAGGAAGTATTGTATAGGTTAAAATAATGAATGAAATCGTTGATGCCAGTAATGTTAATGTTGAGTTATTGGTCAAAATATGCCATTTTCAGGCAAAAATCAATGTAAATCTTATCTTGACTTCTTTAATATATTTTCATTTTTTTGAAAATTCTGTTAATTGAATTAACAAACTTTTTTTTTTCTTTTTTTTTTTAGAAAAATATAAACTGAAACCTTTCTTTGTTAATCCTAGCATATAAAAATGTATGGCTTAAGTTCTAAGATACTAAATCTAACAAATGGATAGATTTGAAAAATTATCTTCTAAATATCCTTCTGCCACAATAAAAAGTCCCCCATAAATCATGTTTCTTTATTATCTTCTGAGCGGTTATTAAATTGAAATTGTTAAAATTTGCATTTTTCAATTAAAAATGCCATAAAAACTGAATTATTATTAATGAATATGAAGTTAGAGATTCTGACAAAAGATATCACACCAGACTTCTCATATATCTGATAACATTCTTTTTTTTTTTTTTTGGAAAATTTGCTTCGTATACTAATTCACCAAAGGTAAATGATCAATGTAATTAAAAAAATGTGATGAAAACGAAAAGTGACCGATTTCAGAAATTCTCAAAACAATTCAAATTTATCTGTAAACAGGACATAAAACACGGACCCCGGATATTCCAGGGGTGGAACGGAAGCCTAGAAGGAAAAAGAATTGTACTCTAAACATGCTCTTAAGTATTGAAAACGTTGTGAGACTTATCGCCATACACGTGTGAAAGCGAAATATTACTAAATATATAAGGAAAGTTGACGATGAAAAAGGGGCATCATCTTTGTCGTACACTGCAGTTGTTAGTTGGTTAGTAAAACATCCATATAAAAAGATACATGCGGTGTGTTAGAAGACCTGGTCGTCGAAGACTACGTAGATGATATCAATGAGGAATTCACTTACTTACTTACTTATCCTCTTCGTCCCCTATGGGACATAAGGCTTCAACAAGCTGCCTCCATCTTCCTCTATCCTTTGCCACGTACTGTGCCTGTCCCCACTTCCTCTAGCTCTGATGTTACGGTTCTTCTCCACGTTGTTCTTGGTCTACCTCGTTTCCTCTTTACAGATGGTGTCCAATGTAGGGCTGTTTTAAGTATTCTACTCTGGGGCATTCTCCTCACATGTCCAAGCCACCTCAATCTTCTTTGCTTGACTTCAGTTGTTATGTTACTGCTTTTGCTTTTCTTGTGCAGGTCTCTGTTAGAGATCTTGTTCGGCCAGAAGATACGGTGGATTTTTCGGAGACAGTTGTTGTGGAATGCCTCTACTTTTCTCATGGAGCTGTCAACAACACGCCAGCATTCAGACCCATACACGAGAACTGATTTAACATTGCTGTTATAAAGTTGGAGTTTGGTTCTCAGACTGTAGTTGTTTGACTTCCAGATGGGCTGAAGTTTGGCAAATGCTGTCCGTGTTTTATTGAGACGTGATTTTATTGTTTTTCCAGTGCCGTTGTCCTTACTTAGGATGCTTCCAAGGTAGGTAAAGTCCTCAACTTCCTCTAGTGGCTCTCCATTTAATGTGACAGGTTCTACTGGTGCATTGATTGTCATTATTACCTTGATCTTCTTGGCATTGATGTTAAGCCCAGTTTGTTTGGCAAAGGAGTTTAATTTATCAGTCTTTTCTTGTAAGTAGATTATGTTTCCTGATATTTCTGCCAGATCGCGGGTATGTTAAGGAAGCATACAAATCATTTCTCGGGAAATTTAGACTTTTTGAAGAAAATTAAGATTAATAATTCATCAAAGTCTCCGATAAAACATAAACTATTATTCACTATTACATAAAGACACGGAGTGTCCGAGGCCAAGTAGTGCACCACCTCGAAGTCATCACGTGACCGCTATTAATAGCAAAATATTCCTTAATGAAAAACTTCACAGAACAACACTACCCCGGGGTTAAATAATTTCTTTGAGTAAATAGCATAGTTGAAAAACATCTCTTATGCCTAAAAAGTGCTGCTAGAATCCCACTGTCCGATCGGGAAAATAATTATTCCACATATATGTACGAAACCTTACCCGATGTTTTGCATTTTATGCATATAACCCGAGATATTTCTACAAACCAGGTTTACTTCACGATTCTAGCAGCACTTTCCAAGTATTATAGAACACAAGCTTTCGATATGTACAAATCTTATGTTTTTAAGTATCCAGCTTAGTGTTGTTCTTTTGCATTATTGTTGTCACGAATGACAGAGGAAAAGCCTACCGGAATACGTAAATAGCTGACTGTCTTCAATAGAAGATATAATCGATGAAAATAAATCAACATACCTGTTTAACATACTTTAACTTCACATGAATAACACACAATATACACGGTATTTGCTTCTAAACCTCCTTTTACGTATCTTTTAACATGCCGTTTTGGCCAAATTCTCGTTACACAACATGATCGATTCTCAAGTTCCTTGTTGAACAGTTATGACGTCATTGGTCGGAGATTATAATTCAAGTGACAGATACAGCAAAACAAAATAAAAACATTTTATTTTTGTTAATATTTGCAAATTTCTATTCATTTTCAGGAGTCAAATTATATCTCTAAATAGCAATATTAGGAAAACTTGTGTTCTAAACTTGACGTCATCTCGCCTACTATGACGTCATATTGTATCACTGATTTAGTCAAGTCAGATTATCTTAGTGCTTCCTTAACACACCTGCGATCGTCTGCAAAGTCCAGGTCTTCTTGGTGACTGAACATTGTCCATTGAATACCCTTATTTTGGTCATGTGTAGTGTTTCTTTGAATCCAATCAATGACCATAAGGAAGAGAATTGGTGATAATATGCATCCTTGCCTTACTCCAGATTTTACACTGAATGAGTCAGATATTCCCTTTTCCAGGATGACACTACATTCGAAGTTTGAGTAAAATGTTTTCATGATATTGCAGATCTTTGCTGGTATTCCATATGATCTTACTATTTTCCAGAGTGTTTCTCTGTGCACACTGTCGAACGCTTTCTTAAAATCAATAAAGTTGATGTACAGTAGTATTTGCCATTCTATACACTGTTCTATAATGTTACGAATGGTGAAAATTTGGTCTATACACCCTTTTCCTCTTCTAAAACCAGCTTGTTCCTCTCTCAGTTTCTTTTCAATCACTTTGTCTATTCTGACAGCAGTATTTCTGCGGACTGAGAGCAGTGTTATGCCTCTCCAGTTGTCACAAATTTGGAGATCTCCCTTCTTTGGAAGCTTTACAATGAGTCCTTTACTCCAGTCATGTGGTATTGTTTCATTTTCCCAGATGTGTACGAATAGGTCTAATAGCGTTTTTGATGATGTTGTTATATCTGTTTTCAGCATTTCAGCATGTATGCCGTCATTACCGGGGGATTTACCATTCTTTAATGATTTAATACAGTTTTGGACTTCTTCCAGAGTTGGTGGTTCTAAGTTTATTTCTAAATCTTCAACTGCGGGGTCTGGACTTGCTGGTTCATCGAAGTCTGGGCAATTTAGTACCTCCTGGAAATATTGTACCCAACGGTTGGCTTGTTCATGTTCTGTTGCCAGTGTGTGACCATCTTTATCTTTCACAAGAGCAGATTGGATTGTAGTGCGACCACATAGTTTTTTGTCATTTTGAAAACGGTGCTCATTTCTCCATATGAAGCAGCTCGTTCAGCTTCTTGTGCCAGACTGTCAACATACATTCGTCTATCCCTCCTAGCACTTCGCTTGACATCTTTATCCTTTCCTTTATAGGAAGCTTGTAGTTGTTTTTGTAATCTTGCAGACTTGGTACCGATGATTTTCTGCTTTGTGTTCTTTCTTTCACCTATTTTTCCCATGTACAAGGTGTTAGCCATTCTTTGTTCTTCTTGGTTCGGTAGCCTTTAGTTTTTTCGGCGGTTTCAATTTATACATTCTTGATCGTGTCCCACCTTTCTTGAATATCTTCGACAACGTCAAGACCTTCTTCAAGAACCTTTAATCTGTTCTTCAATTCCATGAGGAATTCAAGCATCCTTCTAATATCAACTTCTGAGTAATACAAAGTCCAAACTGTACATGATATGTAGAATACGAAACATGGACATTTGCTATGAGACCTTGGGATATATGTTACTGAATATGCTGCTAAATCA